CCCAAAGGCCACAGGACCCGGATGGTCCTGCACATGCCCAAAGGCCAAGTCAGACCCCAGAAGAAAACAAAAAATGACCAACAAATTGATACAGAACAGGCAGCAAAGAAAGGGTTAACACCCACAAGCCACAGAGTGAAAGGTGATTCTCAGAATACGTCCAGGTTTTTCAGATCGTTGAGCTCGTGCACTGTGTCACTGCTAGAAGGTGATCAGAAGCTGATACAACCATTAATGTCACAAGTCTTGAAAAACATCAGACTGACACATGCGCTAAAAGCTGAAATTGACACAGCAGCTAGAGTCAACACATTACCACCACACATGCTGTATGTCAGCAAACACTGCTCCATGATACTGTCTACAAGAGACTATCGCATAGTGGCGAATGGAGCACCAATTCCATTCGTTGGCAAAATCACATTCCAGTGCCAATGCACGAGCTCAGTTTGGCCCCAGAATCTTCTACCCTGTAGATGCCAACGATTCAGCGGTGGCAGAATTAACAGTATACACAGATCTCAGAGCAGTGACAATTCATGAGATTCAAATGATGCCCACTATGTGATTGAACAGACCACATGTGACACAATAGAATCACTCAACAATCTCGAAGGATATGGCTTTGAAGTGAGATAGAAGCCGGATACCAGGATGGTTAACAACACAAACTGAAATTGCTGGAAAAACTCAGCAGGTCTGGCAGCATCTGTCGAGAGAAATCAGAGTTGATTTTTTGGGTCCATGGACCCTTCCTCAGAACTCTGTTTCTGACTTACAGCATCCACATTTCTTTTGTTTTAACCAGGATGATTACATCAGACACACTGAGCAGATTACCCAACACACAGGAGACCGAGATCTTCCTCTTGACGTATACTGCGATGCTGTAGACTACGAAGGTGCAAACATCTGTCCAGAGTCAGTGTGAACAACTATAACTGACCATGACCCATGAACAGCAGCGGCAAGAGTTGCAGAACATCGTTATCCAGGGACGGTCTAACAGTTTTAAACAAGTACCTGAGCAGACTTCTTCATTTTGGCCACGTGCTGACTAATGAGGGATATCATGACAAGACCATTTCAAGGGCAAACAAGTCCTAACACCAAAAACATTACACCAGGATATCATGACCATGTTCCACCAGGGACTTGTGGGTATTGAAAACATGATATGGTTACCACGGGAGTGGCCAGGGATAAATCAGGATATTCAATGACTTGTGAATGCATACAAGGTGGGCCAAACCTATCAACTCAACAAAGCAGGGAGCCTCTACATACACATGTTCCAACTATTCCTTGAATCAAGGCCCGAAGTCACACAACACCAGGTTATTGTCCAATCGGTTTATTTGAAATCACAAGCCTTTGGAGAACTGTCCCTTCATCAGATGAAGTGAAGGAAGCATCCAGGCACGGACTTTATAATCAGAGTGAGATCAAATGGTCATACAAATGATGTGAGTGGAGTATCAACAGGCCAAATAATAGGTCTCTGCAGGTGACCAAGAGTGTCAGACAGTGCGAGTAAAGTGTCAACAGCTGAGTAGAGAGTGAAGGGATGTCCTATAATCCAATGAAATGAGGCAGAGAGATAATTACAAAAAATCAAAAATAAGGGGCAAGTGTCCTGCAAGGCCTTCGAGATACACAATAACGCAGAATCACCAAGCAGAAAGCGATAGCCAAGTTCCGTGCCCATGAGGATGACCTTAACTGTGATCTTGGGTTCATGTCACACGACATGTAACCCCACCATACTGTTCTATAAAATCTTCCTTACTGCCCTGCTTTGACACCATCACCTTGATAACTTGTTATGATCTCTCTACCTTAATTAGTTTGTAGAGTTTTGGATTACTTGTTACTTTTGTTCAACCCTCATCATGCGAGTCTTATACCCATTATGTCATTCCAGCCACTTGGTTTGACTCCAATACCAGCTTATTTTTATTGTTTTGTAATTATCTCTCTGCCTCATTTCATTGGATTATAGGACATCCCTTCACCTCTATTCAGCTGTTGACACTTTACTCACACTGTCTGACACTCTTGGTCACCTGCAGAGACCTATTATTTAGCCTGTTGACACTCCACTCACACCAGTTGGATGATCTTTTCATCTCTCTGATCATAAAGTCTGTGCCTGGGTGCTCTCTTCATTTTACCTGATGGAGGGGCAATGCTCCGAAAACTTGTGATTTCAGATAAACCTGTTGGACTATAACTTGGTGTCGTGTGACTTCTGATGTTGTTCACCCCAGACTAACACCAGCGCATCCACATCACGACTCCTTGAATCAAAGTCACAACAGACCTACTCAATGTGCAGGGAAGTCTACAGCCTTGCGTTACATCCCTAAATTTCCCATTGTTCACCAGGTTGGCTATACAATGGACCCACTGTTGTTGGCCTGATCAGCACTATTCTCAATCCTGGGTCAGACAGTATCTGACAGTGGCCTACAATACATTGAGCACCATCACAAGGCGGGGAGTGATATTTCATCATCACCTTATTATTCACTCTCAAACAATCGAGCAGAACATCTCACACTTAAAGTCAATGATCATTATGTGTCAAGCAACAAAGTAAAACATTTGTATAACATTCCTGCATTACGGTATTACGGTGGCAGAAAGGACGTTTGATGACAACTCGTCTACTGAGGTAGTATGGGCTGAGGTTAGAACCAGGAAAGGAGAGGTCACCCTGTTGGGAGTTTTCTATAGGCCTCCGAAAAGTTCCAGAGATGTGGAGGAAAAGATTGCAAAGATGATTCTGGATAGGAGCGAAAGTAACAGGGTGGGGACTTTAACTTTCCAAATATTGACTGGAAACGCTATAGTTCGAGTACTTTAGATGGGTCAGTTTTTGTCCAATGTGTGCAGGAGGGTTTCCTGACACAGTATGTAGATAGGCCAACAAGAGGCGAGGCCACATTGGATTTGGTACTGGGTAGTGAACCAGGCCAGGTGTTAGATTTGGAG